AGAAGCTCTGTAGGGCAGTTCTACTCTGTCTTATAGGGTCACTATGAGTCGGAATTGACTTGACAGCACACAACAACAACATAGCTTTACCTTTTACAGAATGTCATATAGTTTGAATCATTTATTATGTAGCATTTTCAGACTGACTTCTTTCACTAAGCAATTTGTTTTTAAAGTTCCTTCATGTCTTTTTGTGGCTTTATAACACATTTCTGTTTAATCACTGAATAATAGTCCAGTGTATGGATGTACCACAGTTTTATTCATTCATCTTTTGAAAGATATCTTGGTTGCTTTTTGACAATTATGAATAGAGCTGCTATAAACATTCCTGTACAGGTTTATGTGTGGATGTAAGTGTTCAACTCATTTGGGTAAATACTTAGGAGCGTGATTGCTGGATCATGGTAAAGCTACGTTTATCTTTGTAAGAAACTGAAACCTGTTTTCCAAAATAGTTGTACTGTATTGCATTTCCACCATCAATGAATGAGAGTTCCTGTTGCTCCATATCCTTGCCAGCATTTGGTATTGTCAGTTTATTATTATATTTTTAATTTTACCCATTCTAATACGTATATAGTGGTATCTGATTGTTTTTTGAATATTTAATTATCTGATGACATGATATTGAACATCTGTTCATATGCTTATCTGACATCTGTATATTTTCTTTGGTGAGGTGTCTGTTTAGATGTTTTGCCCACTTCGTAATTGGTTGTTTTCTTATTGTTGAGTTTTACGAGTTCTTTGTATATTTTAGATAGATACATGCACTTTATCAGATACGTGTTTTGCAGATATTTTCTCTGAGTCTGTGGTTTGTCTCTTCATTCATTTAACATTGTCTTTCACAGAGAAGTGTTTAATTATAATTAATTCCAGTTTACAGACTTTTTTTTTTTTCATGGATCACCAGACTTTTTCGGTTATATCTAAAAACTCCTCTCCAAACCCAAGATTACCTAGGTTTTCACCTGTACTATCTTCTAGAAGTTGTATAATCTTGCATTTAACAGTTAGGTCCAATTTCCACATTGAGTTAAATTTTGTGAAAAGTGTAAGGTCAGTGTCTAGAGTTATTTATTTTATTTATTGCATTAGATGTCCAGTTGTTTTAGCACCACTTGTTGAAAAGATGAATCCTTTTCTATTGATTTGCCTTTGCTTCTTTGTTAAAGATTAATTGACTAAGTTTGTGATGGACTCTTTCTAGGGTCTTTATTTTGTTTTGTTGATTTGTCTATTGCCAATATAACACTGTCTTAGTTATTGTAGCTTTACAGTAAGTCTTGAAGTTGGGTGATATCAGTCCTCCCACTTTGTTCTTTTTCATCGGTACTGAATTGGCTATTCTGTTTTTTGCCTTTCCATATAAACTTTAGAATCAGTTTGTCAGTATCTACAAAAGCACTGGTGGGTATTTTGATTGGGATTGCATTGAATCTATAGTTCAAGTTGGGAAGAACTGGCATCTTAACCATATTGAGTTCTCCAATCCGTGAACATGGAACATCTTTCCATTTATTTCTTTCAATAGAGTTTTATAGGTTTTCGCATATAGATCTTGTACATATTTTATTAGATTTATATCTGATTTTTTTTTTGAGCCCGCGTAAATGGTATCCTATTTTTAATCGCAAACTCCAGTTGTTCATTGCTGTTACATAGGAAAGCAATTGGTTTTTGTATGTTAACTTTGTATCCTGCAACCTTGCAATAAATTGTTTATTAGTTTGGGAGGGTTTTTTTTTTTTCAGTCGATTTTTTTTGAATTTTCACTATAGACAGTCATGATGTCTCTGAACAAAGATAGTTTTATTTTTTCCTTCCCAATCTGTATACCTTTTATTTCTTTTACTTTCTTATTGCATTAGCTTGGACTTCCTCCTGATTTTAGGGGTAAAGCATCATTTCTGACCATTAAGTATATGGTAGCTGTAGGGTTTTTTGTAGATGCTCTTTATCAAGTTTATAAAGATACTCTTTATCAGTAGAGTAACTTTCCCTCTACTTGGTTTGCTGAGAAAAAAATTTTTTTTTAATCATGAATGAGTATTGGATTTTATCAAATGTTTTTTGGCACCTATTGAAATGATCATTTAATTTTTGTTCTTTAGCTTTTTGATGTAATGAAATATATTAATTGATTTTTGAACATTAAACTAGCCTTGCATACCTGGAATAAGTCCTGTTTGGTCACGCTTTATAATTCTTTTTATACATTGTTGGATTAGATTTGCTGATATTTTTGTTTTTGTGCACATATTTGTTTAAATCAGGGAGTTTCTAGGCCAGGTTCAGGTAACTGAAGGGCTTTTATGAGTAGTTTATATTGTCTACACCCAAGGTATGCTGCAAACACAGTCTGGAGCAAAATGGAAACAGCATCTTTCTAAAGACAGGCTTAGAAATTCTGATCCGGTAGATTAAGATGTTTCCTGTCTCAGGTAGCAGGGCTGAGTCATATCTGGCTGCTAGGCCGCCATTCACAGGTATAGCCAAGATAACGGGATAAAGATCACCAAAAACAGGACCAACCAGTCCACCCCTTGTTACAGTACAAGTTTCACAGCTCAAATTACTTGTACTCAAAGGTAAACTTACAAAACTTTTTTTAAGATACTTGTGCTGTCAAAAACGGAATCACTGCCATTGGTAAGCTGGCAGCTAGCTGAGCCTGTGTCACATTTAAGATGCGTCGAAAAAGACTGCTGTTAGGCCACAGAGAACAGCATTAAGCCCAACATACGTTGATCCATGTTCAAGCAGATTCTTTTCTACTTCTGGAAGTTGGTTAATTTTTCTGGTTGTAATATCAAGAGTTTTTAAGTTTTCCTTAATAGTATCATCTGGTTCATGATTTTCCATCTTGGAGCCATATGCTCCCCTTCTTTCAGCGGCTGGTGTCTCCCCCAGTCCTCCTCAGCTATGCCGAGGCTCAAGGCAACCTTTGCTCAACTGGCCCGGGCGCAGCCATGTTTGGATGACACGTGACTGGATTTGCTAATACTTTGTTGAGTATTTTTGCATGTATTTTCATGAGACCTATTCTCAGAGAATTTGACTTTCTAACAAGTTCCCTGCTGAGAATTTACATTTCTAACAAGTTCCCAGGAAGGTATACATAAGAATCACTTACTGTAGAACTGTTCCCTCATTTATTATAAGGATGAACTTCCTTGAATTTCATAAATTTGAGAATAATGTTAGAAATATATACGTATGTACATACACACACACAAACACAACAGTCTCTTATGTGTAACTTCCTGGGAACTTGTTAGAAATGCAAATTCTCAGCAAGGAACTTGTTAGAAAGGTGAATTCTCATCAGGGGTTGAACCAGAATGAACAAGTTTAAAGCCTTGAGCATATTATATTTATTTAAAAAAATTTTTTAGTGGTTGCTCTAGAGTTTGCAGTATGCATGTATACATTTACATACTGTTGGTCAACTTGGAAATAATACTGTTCTGTTTCACGGGTAGTACAGGTACCTTAAAACAGTATAACATTTCCTGTCCCTTACAACATTGCTGTTGTTCATTTTGTTTCACTGATCTATAAGCTGTAATCATGCAGTACATTGTTGTTATTATTTTAAACATTTATCTATTAGATCAATTAAGGAAAATTGAAGTCTCAATTTAACCTTCATTTATTCCTTCTCTAGCACCCTTCTTTTCTTAATGTCTGTTTCTGACCTGTATAATTTTCTTTCTTTCTGAAGAACTACTTTTAATATTTCTTCCCAGGGAGGCCTACTGGTGATAGATTCCCCCAGTTTTTGTTTGTCTGAGGAAGTCTTTATTTCTTCCTCACTTTTGAAGAATAATTTCACTGGATATGGAATTCTAGATTGGTTTTTTTTCCCCCAACTGTTTAAATACTTCAGTCATTTTGCTTGCATGGTTTGTAAAGAGAAGTCTGATGATGTTAATTCTTGTTTTTGTTCCTCTGTAGATAAGGTGCTCTTTTTCCTCTGGCTTCTTTTAAGACTTTCTCTTTTCTTTTGGTGTCCTGCAGTTTCAATGTGGTGTATATCTAGATGTGAATTTTTTTGGTATTAATCCTGCTTGGTGTTTTCTGAGCTTGCTGAATCTGTGCTTTGTTGTCTGTCATTAATTTTGGAAAGTTCTCAACTCTTATTATTTCAAAGATTCCCTAGTCTTCTTTCTCTTTTCTCTTTTGGTTATTCTCCTTACACATATGTTGTTGTTTTTAGTTGCCGTTGAGTTGGCACTGACTCATGGTGACCTTATATATAACAAACCATTGCCTGATCCTGCTGCATCCTCGCAGTCATTGGTATGTTTGAGCCCGTTGTTACAGCTACTATTTCAGTCCACCTCATGGAGGGTTTCCTTTGTTTTTGCTGACCCTTTACTTTACCAAACGTGATGTACTTTTCTAGCAATTGGTCTTTCCTCATGATGTGTCCAAAGTAAGAAAGATGAAGTCTCACTATCCTCACGTCTCTAAAACACGTATGTCACACCTTTTTAATTGTCCCACAGTTTTTGAATATTCTATTATTTATTTTTTTCATCCTTTTTTCTTTGCATTTCAGTTTGGGAAGTTTCTACTGAAATATCTTCAAGCTTACTGATTCCGAATTGTTTTTTAAATTTCATTTTCTGATTGTTCATTGCAAATGTATAGAAATGCAATTGATGTTTTATATATTGATCTTGTATGTGGCTACCTTGCTGAACTCATATTATTGGTATAATTCTGATTACAGTATTCGTATACATGAACATTGGGCTACAACTGCAGTGGTGAAAACTTACATTAAGTGAAAATCATGGTGGTCTTACAATACCATCTTAGACTATGTTAAAGAATGAAGATGAGCTAATAACATATGGAGTCTATTTTCGCTTATGTATGTTACTTATAATTATTTTTCCTTAGCATACCATTTAGGAATGAAGCATACTTAACTTTTTGAAATGAAAAATATTTCAATATTAATTTTTAATAATCTGTTTTAGGAGCTGTGTCCCTCAAGAATCTCAAAATTAAAGAAAATGCTCTGGTGAGTTTTGACTATGAAAAATTTGTAAAAGAGCATTTAGTTATACTAACTTCTTCCTGATTTACATTGTCACCTCAGATCGTTAAGGTTTGAGAAATTTTTTTGAAAATAATTTTTGCAGAATATGAATTTTGAAAGATAGAGTTCTAATCTCCCTAAAAGCACAAACTGATAGTGGAATTCTCCCACTTTTTTTTTTTTTTGGTTACAATTTAAAAGTGTTAATGTTTCTGCTATGGGTAGCTTTTGTGATTAGTGTTACCGTAGAACTGTTTCCCTCATTTATTATAAGGATGAGCTTCCCTGAATTGCATGAATTTGAGAATAATGTTGGATATGTATTTGAATAAGTGTTGGTGGTAAAGAGAATGTGTAAGTTTATTTAAGAATCTTGCAAATAATTTTGGAAAGAAAAAAATTACCATCTGTGTATTGTTGAACTGTGTATGTACTAATATTAACACATATACATATATATACTTTTTTTTGTAGCATCAGCTGGATGTACCATTTAAAGTTAAAGCTGGTCATATAGGTAAGCAGTATTTGTTAGTTCAGTGTCATCGTTTGTGAACATGAAACCAGAATAATGTGCTTAGTATCTCTGTAGGTTGATCTTTTTAATGTTTCTGAGCTTGAGAGTAATTATCATGTGTTCTCATCTAGGTAGAGCTTATTTATGCAATTTAAACGTTGTGGGGTCCATATATCCCTTGACCAGTAGTTGATACTTAAGAAATTACACATCTTATTATGTGTTAAAATTGAGTTTTTTTGAGTATTGTTGAGAGCCAAAGTATTACATCCAATATAGAGTATAAGTGTCTCAGTTTCTTAGGTTGGTGGCTAGTTGTTATTATTACTCTATCCTGATTGGTCATGGATACGTGGTAAGGAGTAGGGTGTGAATCATCCATGTGCTATGTCTAGGGACCAATCTGAAAGCTAGTCTCTGCTCTCAAAATTTTCTAGGTTTCTAGGAAGCACTGTGCCATTTCTTATTCTGTCATTTGTTATTATTTTCCCAGTGTTTGTTGTTTATATTTTAAGTGTATTGATGAACAGAAATAGAATATGAAATTTCAAATACTCATAAAACTTGTCTGTGGTATTTCTTGAATTGTGTTGAAGCTTTATTAATATAAGTATTATACAAGATGAGTGTATCTATTACTTGGGACTTTGAAATATTTCTGTTGCATAGATAATTATTGTAGTAGTGCTTTTATAATGTTATTGAAACCAAATTGATGAAAGCTTACATAGTATATTAGTTTTCTAGGGCTGCTGTAAAACAGTACCACGAACTGGATGGCTTAAAATAATAGTTTATTATCTTATAGTTCTGGAGGCTAGAAGCTGGAAATGAAGGTGTTAGCAGGGCCATGCTCTCTCTAAAGGCTCTAGGGGAAGATCCTTCCTTGCCTCTTCATAGCTTCTGTTGGTTTCTGGCAGTCCTTGGTGTTTTTGGCTTGCAGATGTTATCACTCCATGTCTGCCTCTGTGTTCTCATGGCTGTCTTCTCTCTGTGTGCTTCTGTCTGTGTGTCTCCACTTTTTATAAACACTAGTCATCCTGGATTTGTGGCCACCCTATTTTAGTATGACCTCATGTAACTAATACCATCTTCAGAGACCCTATTTCAAAACAAGGTCACATTCACAGTACTGGAGGTTAGGACTTCAGCATATCTTTTCGGGAGGGGATATAATTCAACCTGTAAATAACACATAGATTGCATGATAATTGTCTCCACAATATTGTGGTTGCTATTAGACCATCGATCATGGAAAGTTTTCAGCATCTTATGTTGCTGAGACTCAAATTCTATCCCCTCCTCCCAATTTAAAGAAAATTTAGCAGAATAAGAGGAGAAAATGTCACCATATTTTTCCATCAAACATTTTTATTTTTGCATGCCTCTTATTGTTTACTTGTATACATTTTTAAATAGTTATAATCATTATTTTGTATGTATGATCTAAATTTTAGTTAGCATGTATTAAGAATTTCTCACATTTCTATGTTGACTTGACCTCGTTTATTTTTATGGCAGTATAATAACGTAATGAATGCGTATTTGGTCATTTTAAAATAATCTCATTTTTCCATTGGCACAAAGATATTGTAGTGAATATCTTTTATGTAGCTTTAAAAAAATTTGCTAAAAGTTACTGAATTTTATAATTACAGTCAGTGTATTTTAATAGATGTAAATTTTCTCTCGATTCAAGAAAAGTAGAAAAAAATACGAGGAGAATAGAAAGAGCTGATTTCCTTTGGAGACTGTCTTCCCTCCTTTTTTCTTGCCTTATCTTGTTTAGAAGTGATGTAAGGTAATTTCCTGTGGTAATGCAAGATAGTGGAATGTACAGTGAACTAAATACCTAGTACACAGAGTGATTTTGAGAATTAGAGTGTTATTTGCGTATCTTTATCACAGTATCCATCATTTAATATCATTATTACTGTTTTCTTCTTCTAGACAGTATGTTTCTTGAGAACAAATGAATTTTTTTTTTTTATTGTATCCTCACCACTTAGGACATTAGCCAACATATAGTAGAGGCTCAATTTGTTGAGTGAAAGAAGTACACATTTCTAAGTGAGTGGCACAGTACTACAACCAGTTTTTTAGGAGTGCATTGTCCCCTTGCTATTATTGGGTATTGTTAGTGTTTTTGATCTTTCAAAGCATTCCTCATTTATGAATCAGAATTACATATATTAAATATAAATACAAACATATTTTAAAATTGATTATCTTTGTATGCAAGATTTTTGGTATTACCTTTTTATATTTTTCTGAATTTTGCAGTTTCTATAAGGAGTCTGTATTTTACAATGAGAGGAAAAAAGTGTTTTTTTAAAAATTATTTGGCAGTAAAAATGGTACATTATTAATTTAGTATGTGTTTCTTTGACTACCTTTTACTATTTCACTTTTTACTGTTTTTTTGTTCTTTTACTTTTTTGGGAGTAGTGTGTATGTGTTTGTTTCAAGCAGTTTCCTTGATACATTTATAAAGAAATTAACTATGTCGATTTTGTCACAGTTATTTCTTTTCCATCTGCTTATTTCATTTTGGTTATATTTTTGGGCTACCCAGAAATCCGAAATCTGATTTTATAACTTAGTGTCTTAGTCTCCTAGTGCTGCTGTAATGTAACAGAAATACTGTAAGTAGGTGACTTTAAATAAGAGAAATTTACTTTCTCACAATTCTGGAGGATTGGCTCTGTAAATTTCTTCCCTGTCAGCTTCCCTGGGCGTTCCTTGGTTCCTTGGTTGTCATCAGGTGGCATCTGTCTTCCCCAGTTTGTGCTTATTTCTGTGTCTGATTTGCGTTTCTTATAACTCAGAAGTGATTAGGTTTAGGATACACCCTACACTGATATGGCCATATTAATGTAACAGAGAAAACCCTATTACCAAATAGGATTACATCCACAGGGATAGGGTTAGGATTTCAACACATATTTTTGGTGGGGGACACAATTCAATCCTTGACAGAAATTTATCCCTCTTTTAGAAATTAGAATAATTTTTCTCTGGATTGGCATTGTACATTGGAATCCTTTTCTCAGTTTGGGGTTTTATAACAGTGAGGTTTGGGGGTATGTTATGAGGTGGATCTACATGGATTTTTTTCCCCTTCCCAATTTACTAACCTATTGCTGTAACGGAGACCTGTTGGCACAGTGGTTAAGAGCTTAGGCTGCTAACCAGGAGGCTGGCAGTTCGAATCCATCAGCCGCTCCTTGGAAACCCTGTGGGACAAGTCTGCTCTTCCTATAGGGTCGCTGTGAGTCAGAATCGACTAAATAGCAATGGGGTTTTTTTTTTTTCTTTTTTTTTAAAATAGTATATTTAATAATCTTTCCCTTCCCCAGTAATGGGAACTAATTCTAAATCTAGGGACTCATGTTTTTGTCTTATGCCATCCAGCTGATTCCTACTCATGGCAACCCCATGTGTCACAAAATAGAACTACTCCGTAAGGCTTTCTTCGCTGTAATCTTTATGGAAGCAGATTGCCAGGCCTTTTCTCATGTGGTGCCACTGTGTGGGTTGGAACTGCCAACTTTTCGGTTACCAGCTGCACGCAAACCATTTGTGCCACCCAGGGACTTTAACTTTTAAAAATTAAAAAAAATGTTTTAAAACACTTTGTTATGGTAGTTTTCAAATTCACAAAACTAGAGTGAATAGTAGTACTGTACCCTATACATGGTATTTTTAGTTAAAAAAACCTAATGTTTTTTAAAAGACTTTGCTACGAAATTGTAGTAAAATGTTATCATTAGTTTGGATAATTTCCTAATATTGCCCATGATTTCTTGATTCTTAACATGTGTTTTTGTGTGTGTGTGTATGTATGCATATATACGTATATATACACATAAAAAAACAATGTGTGTGTGTATGAAAAACAAATATACACATATATAAAATATACAGTGGACCTTTTTGAAGTATAAGACAAATACTTCCTACAGAGGTTTAGAGTAAGAATTGAGGAAATAAAAAGTTATGATTTAAAGGAATATTTGTTGTTATATTTGTGGTAGGGATATTCATAAAGAGAAAATGGTTAATATTTAAAATATAATTTACTAAATTTTTCAACAATACTGATATAAATAATTTCAAATTACCATGATAAAGGCATGTTATTTTTGTTTGTAAAATAGTTTCTATAAAGTGACTAAGCTCATAAGGACAAAGGCAAAAAATAAGCTAACACTAAATGTAGATTGAATGAATAATATTTTTTGTTATTATTTTTCTTTAAATGTAGGTAATCTTAGTCTTGTAATTCCGTGGAAAAACCTTTATACTCAACCAGTTGAAGCTGTATTGGAGGAAATATATTTACTCATAGTGCCTTCTTCTAGTAAGTCAAATTTTAAACTTTTTTTGTGGATGGAAAACATCTTTATATTTGGTAATTGCATTTGTTCAAAATACCCATGGGGAATTTTTTGACATAATTAAGTATTTTCATTTGGTATTTGGTAACTTGAATAAAATTGGTTGTTACTCTAATTTTTTTTTTTTGGACTTTGAATTAGTGATTATTTTTAAGAATATTTTTTGGAGTGAATATATTTTAATTTAAAGTAATTAAGATTCTTTTTTTGCTTTCTATAGTAATAAAATATGATCCTTTAAAAGAAGAAAAACAAATCTTGGAAGCAAAGCAACAGGAACTAAAAAGAATAGAAGAAGCAAAACAAAAAGTAGCTGATCAAGGTAAAGAAAACAATAGATAACAATGCCTAAATGAATTTATAGAGCAAAGGATTTTATTGGGCAGTGGTGGGAATCAAAGATTAAAATATGATCTCCTGTCTTCAAAGACAGGGGTCATTATGAGTTGGAGTTGACTCGACAGCAATGGGTTTGATTTTTTTGGTCTTCAGAGAGCTTTTATTATGTCCCTTTTACTCTCTGCTTTACTCTACATTTATTAATTCTGTATTCAAATGCATTCACATAACTCTCATTCACAGTTACATTTTAGGTACATATGATTAATATCTTCATCAGTTTTCTCTTGTCTAAGGTCAGTTGAGTTAAAAAGTAGTAGAATGGAGATAACTTTCATTGGCATTTTGAAGGGAGAAAACAGTAACTAGTGATTACCAAAGAAATAGTCTTAAAAAAAAACAACTTAGGAACCTTAATTCTTTATTTTTTATATTTTGTTGCAAAGTCTTAAAGCTGGAGATAATACTGTTTTCAGAACACTGAACAGATGATGAACTTCCTTCATCCTCGCTTGCAAGGAGAGAAGGAGAGGATCTTATAACTCCTAACTGTGTATCCACCAGGGAGAGGAGCATATTCAGTTATTTTGTACATTGAACCACAGACAACTTATGATGGTATCAGTAATTTTAAGGGAGAATCCTCTTCTCTACTGTTAGTGGCTTTCTAATTCAAACATATTATCTAACCATCTTCTTAGTTTTCTATATCTTTATGTGCTTAGGTATAAGTTAACAGAAAGAGAAAAAATCTAAAATTTAATGCCAATAAATTTTACATGGTTAGCTTTAGTCTCATTAGACAAGAAGCTAGCTGTTAAAAATTTATGCATTTAGTCACCTTTGAAAGTCTTTGGTATGGAAGACTTTGGAAAGCAGACTATTAGTGTTCTATCTACAGATGTGGTTTTTTTGTTTTTAACAAAGCAACATATGTATATTAACTCAATACATGAATATTTATAGAGTGTATTTTTCATTCAAGTTAAAAAAAGGAATGTTTGCAATTGTAGAACAACCTAAGGAGGAGAAACAGGACACTTTTGTAGAAAAATTAGTTACTCAGATCATAAAAAACCTTCAAGTGAAAATTTCCAGCATCCATATTCGCTATGAAGATGATGTAAGTATTTTAATTCGTGATACTTGTTTTTATATGTTATGTAAGTTATTTTACTGTTTGTTGACACATATTCTGTAATGGCCAACCTGTCAGATGCTGGGAGGTGCAGGAATACAGAGCTAAACATGACACGATCTTTTATAATTATAGTTGTAATTTGCAGACCTTATTGGTGAATGCTTTGTTAAATTTTACTAAGATGTTCAAGCATCAGATAATTAAAGAAAATGCCTCTCTTATAATCATCTTTGATAGGTAAGAGTTTTGAATTTAGCAGTTATGTATTTAAAAAATGATTTAAAATATACTTTACCTCCTAGAGAAAGCACTGGTCTAGGAATCAGTAGAACTAGACTTAACTAGTTGTTTGATCTTGAATAGGTAGTTTGTTCTCTCTAAAACACGTAATTATTTGCTTCCTATTAATATTATGAGGGTCGATCATTTTTTAATACACTTTTTTTTGTAAGCTGAAAAACATTATGCAGATGTTATTTTACAACACTGATACACTGATAATGGAGTAAAATTTACTTTTTTTTCCTCTTTAGATCACAAATCGAGACAACCCACTGTCATTTGGTATTTCCCTTCAAAATCTCAGCTTGCAGGTACTTTGTTTAAAAAAGAAATTTAACCGTATTTATTATGCAGTATAGTTATCTATATTATATATTCTATAAGTATATGTTGTATGTGTATATATATAGTATACTGTATGTCTGTGCCAGCATCAGGAATGGGTGCCTATATAGGATTGGTACAGAAAGAGTGTAGACTACATTAGAATTGAGGTAAGTAGTTTCACACTTGAAAAAATGGTTGATAATCAGTTTCTGTTTAAAATATGAGGGCCTATTATGTGCTAATTATGATGTTAGATACTTTTGCTTATGTTAAAAAAATCCATTTCAGAGTTTTAAATGAGTAAGCACAAAATAAAAGTAATATATATTTATTTCAGAAACTTTGGTAAGTCATAAAAAGCAAAAAGAAACCAACCACCCACTTTTTCACTACCATTATTCATATGGTGGCATACTTCCTGTCTAATTTTTGTAATTGAGGAATTTGAAAAATATAGAAGCACATAGAGAATCAGGAAACATGTGCTCACATCCAGAATGGACTGTGTTGACCTTGTCATTTGCTCTAAGTTTTAAATACTGTTATAGGAATAAAATGTTAGAGATAAAGTTGAAATTCCTTTTGTTCTTTACTCCCATTTTTTCCTCCCACCCCAAAGATAAACATCCTAGTTTTTAAACGTTTGTGTAATATATTATTTGCTAGATTTTTAGAAGTTTATGTAAGTGGTTTGTATGATTCTTCAGTAAATTCCCTTTTTTGCTTCACAGTGTTTTTTGATATTTATCTGTGTTGCCACATGTTATACAATTCATTCAGTTTAACTGCTGTATAATTATTTCATTACATGCTTTTATTTGTTACGTCTATTGGGCTTTTGTGTAAGATTTATTCTGAAAACATGACTCCTCTGCAAGCTAAAAAAAAAAAAAAAAAAAAAGGCCAGGAGACCCAAGAATCAGAGAAGGTACTAGACTATAGGACTAATTATCTACACGAACCACTGCCTCTTCCACCTTGAGACCAGAAGAACTAGATGGTGCCCAGCTACCACTACTGAATGTGTTCTGATCAGGGATGCAATAAATGAATCCTGATAAAAAGGGAGGAGAATGTGGAGCAGGACTTCAAATTCTTAAAGGATCAAGACTTACTAGACCTATTGAGCCTGGATAAGTCCCTGAAAGTATGGCCCTGAGTGGCTCTTATAAGCCTTGAATTGAAACTACCCCTTTAAACTGAGTAACAGTTTAGCCCAAAGAGTAAGGATGGTCACCCTTGAGTATTGCTTTTTTAAAAAATTATCTGTTTAAGACCAAAAGGCCAACGGCTATTTCAAAGCTTAGATGAGAAGATTGGGGAGCAGGGAGTTTAAGTAAATGGAAGTGAAACAGCTAGAACAGAAATAATGAGAATGTTGATACGATGTGAAGAATGTAATCAACGTCACTGGTCATTATGGTTAGAAACTGTGGAATGGAAGCAGGTTTTGCTCTGTATATTTTCACCAAAAAAAAAATTAAATATTAAAAAAAGCCAAATGAAAAAATTATGCAGTAAAGATGGGTGGGATAAGCAGTGTCCAGTGCTACTGTTTCGTTGAAAAATAAGGATGGAGAATTAGCCATTGAATTTGGCATTGTGAAGATCATTGATTATTATGACTGTAGTGGTTTTGACCATCACCTTTCGACAGTCATTGGAAACTTGACCCTCAGCCCAGACCTACTCAGTTAGAAGCTCTGGGGATGGGGCCAACAATGTATGTCTTAAAAAGCTGTTCAGGTGATCTCGATGCATGCTAAGGTTTGAGAATCCATTCAGTTCTCCACATTACAGTGAAAGCCATCTTTCTAAATTAAGGATCTGATCACTTTGTTCAACTCGGTGGCTTTTTATTGCTCTTAGAATAAAGTCCATAGTTTTGCTTTAAAATAGCTTATATGCCATATGTAATTTGACCCCAGATACCATATCTGGTTTCATCTCTTGTCATCCTCTGCTATTTCAGTTCCCTGATCATGTCATATATTCTTGTATTTTTGGGGCTTTGCATTGCCTCTTTCTGCTCTGATTCATATTTCCTACTGACCTTAGAATGAGTGATTTCTACTCCTAAGTTATGTCTAGGCTGACCCATTGCTCCTGTGGAATTCATAGTGGCCCTGTAAGACAAAGCAGAACTGCCCCATAGGGTTTTAATTAATTTATTTTTTAAAAAAGTATTTTATTGTGTTTTTGGCGAAAGTTTACACAGCAAATTAGGTTCCCATTTAACATTTTCTATACAGATTGTTCAGTGACATTGGTTACATTTTTTTACAATTTGTTAACATTCTTATCATTTGCATTCTGGTTGTTCTGTTTCCATTAATCTAGTTTCCCTGCCCTCGATTACCTTCTCATCTTTGCTTTAGGGTAAATGTTGACTGTTTGGTCTCATATAGATGATTTTTTAAAGGAGTACAGTACTCACGGTGATACTCTTTTTTTTCTCAGTTCATTTTTTTCCTAATATTTAAAATTTTGTTGAGAATATACACAGCAAAACATACACCAATTCAAGTTTCTACAAGTACAATTTAGTGACATGGGTACATTCTTCAAGTTGTGCAGCCATTATCATCCTCCTTTTCTGAGTTGTTCCTTCTTCATTAACATAAACTCACTACCCCCTAAGGTTCATATCTAATCTTTCGAGTTGCTGTTGTCAGTTGATCCCATATAGATCTTAAAAGAGCATAATGCTCAAGGCAGACCTTAACTATTGTTCGGTTTTAAGATGACTTCAGGGGGTGTTTTTGGTTTAAGGTTTAAAAACCAGGGTAGTAGTTTCAGGGGTTCAGCCACTCTCTATGGCTCCAGAAAGTCTAGAGCCCATAAGAATTTGAAATTCTGTTGTGCATTTGCACTCTTTTGATCAAGACTCTTCTATGGAATCTTTGATCAAAATGTTCAGTTGTGGTAGCCGGGTACCATCCAGTTCTGGTCTCATGACAAAAGAGGCACTTGATCATGAAGGCAATTAGCCACACATTACATATCCTCCTTCTATTCCTGACTGTCCTTCCTCTGTTGCTCCAGGTGAATAGAGACTTATTGTTGTGCCTTGGATGACCTCTTGCAAGCTTTTAAGACCCCAGGCACTACACAACAAACTAGGAGGTAGAATAGAAGCACTAAACATGTTTTTAGGCCAATTAACTGGGTTGTCCCATGAAACCATGACCCTAAACCTCCAAACCAAAGAACCAAATCCCATGAGGTGTTTGGTTGTAACCTCAGCAGCTACTCTTTTTTTTTTTTCTTTTGTCATTGTTGTAAATATATCTATCACACAACTTTTGCCAGTTTGACTTTTTGCAGGTGTACAACTTACTGAAGTAATTACAGTAATCGGCTGTGCAACCCTACCCTTAGTTAATGTGACTTTTCCATCACTGTTAACCCCTTTCTCCCTCTCCCTCCCATGCTTAGTAACTACTAATAAACTTTGGTTTCCATACATTTACCTTTTTTTGTCTTATTATACAGTATATACAGTATTTGTCCTTTTGTGATTGGCTTATTTCGTTCAGCATGGTATCTTCAGGCCCCATCCATACCGTAGCATATATCAAGACTGGCTGAGCGGTATTCCATTGTATATATTCCATTATACCACATTTTGCTTAAGCATTCATTTGTTGATGGACATTTAGGTTGTTTCTACTTCTTGGCTATTGTGAATAGTGCTGCAGTGAACATGGCTGTACAAGTCTCTGTTTGAGTCTGTTCTTTCAGGTATTTGGGGTATATACCTAGGAGTGGAATTGCTGGGTCATATGGTAGTTCTATTTTTAGTTTTTTGAGGAACCGCCACACTGTTTTCTACAATGGCTGTACTATTTTGTATTCCACCAGCAATGGGTAAGGGTTCCAATTTCCCCACATCCTTGCCAACATTTGTTATTTTCTGTTTTTTTCCTCCTTAGCCATTCTTGTTGGAGCGAAATGGCATCTCATTGTGGTTTTGATTTGCATCTCTCTGATGACTAATGACTGCTGAGCATCTTTTCATGTGTTTGGTGGCCATTTGAATATCCTTTTTGGTGAAATGTCTGTTCACATCCTTTGCTCATTTTATGATTGGGTTATTTGTCTTATTGTTGTTAAGTTGTTGAAGTTTTATATGTATTTCGGTTATTAGATTTTTGTCAGATATGTGGTTTCCAAAGATGTTCTCCGAGTTGGTAGCTTGTGTTTTCACTTTTTTGGAAAAGACTTTTGATGAACAAATTTTTTAATTTTTCTGAGGTCCCATTTATTTATTTTGTCTTTTGCTGTTATTATATTAGATAATCCATTGTTGAAAGCTAGGCCTGACAGTGTTGTCCCTGCTTGTTCTTGTAAGAACGTTATGGTTTTAGTTTGCACGTTTAGGTCCTTAATCCATTTAAAATTTTGTTTTTTTGTATGGTGTGAGGCATGGATACCGTTTCATTTTTCTGCATGTGGAAATCCAGTTTTCCCCAGCACCATTTATTGAGGAGACTCTTCTTTCCCCATTGAATGAATTTAGCACCATTGTCAAAAATTAGTTGACCATAGATGCGTGGGTTTATTTCCGGACTCTCAGTTCTACTCTGTTGGTCTATGTGTTTATTGTTTATACCAGTACCAGGCTATTTTGATTAGTGTAACTGTATAGCATTTTTTAAAATCAGCAATTGTGAGCCCTCCTGCTTTGTTCTCCTCTTTCAACATTGTTTTGGCTATTCAGGGTCTCTTCCCATTCCATATAAAGTTGACGATTGGTTTTTCTTTCTGTTTTAAAGAAGACAGTTGGACTTTTGATTGGGATTGTGCTGAATCTATAGATCACTTTGGGTAGTATTGACATTTTAACAATATTAAGTCTTTTATTCCACGAACATGGAACATCTTTTCATTTGTTTATGTCTTCTTTAATCTCTTATAGCAGTGTTTTATAGTTTTCATTAAGTCCTTCAAGCCCCTGGTCAGATTTATTCCTAGGTATTTTATTCTCTTAGGTGCTATCCTAAATGGAATTGTTTCCCTAATTTCCCTTTCAGATTTATCATTGCTTGTGTACAGAAACCTATCTGATTTTTGTTTATTGACCTTGTACCCTGCAACTTATGCTAAGTTCCTTCATTAAGTCTAGAAGTTTCCTTGTGGACTCTTTGGGATTTTGTATATATGGGATCATGTCATCTGTGAATGGAGATAATTTTACTTTTTGCCAATCTGAATACCTTTTATTTCTTTTTCTTGTCTTGTTGCTCTGACTAGGCTGTCTAGTACAATATTAAATATGGAAGTGTTGAGAGCGGGCACCCTTGTCTTGTACCTGATTTCAAGGGAAAAGCTCTCAGTCTTTCTTCATTAAGTATAATGTTGGCTGTTGGCGTTTCATATATGCCCTGAATCACAAAGGAATTTCCCTTGTATTCCAACCTTTAGGGTTTTCATCAAGAAAGGGTGTTGGATTTTTTTTTTTAATTGTACTTTAGGTGAAGGTTTGCAGAACAAATAGTTTCTCATTAAACAGTCAGTACACATATTTGTTTTATGACATTGGTTAACAATCCCACAACATGTCAACGCGCTCCCTTCTCGGCCTTGGAGGACTTTTTTTTTTTTTTGGTGAAAATATACGTAGCCAAAGATACACCATTTCAAAAATTTCTACATGTACAATTCAGTGACATCGATTACGTTCTTCCAGTTGTGCTTCTGTTTTCACTTTAGATGAAGGTTTACAGAACAAAATAGTTTCTCATTAAACAGTACCCGTTGCCCTATGACAATGGTTAACAACCTCACTACATGTCAACACTGTCCTTACTCAACCTTGGGTTCCCTTTCACCAGCCTTCCTGTCCCCTTCTGGCTTCTAGTCCCTGGACTGCTGTGCCTCATTAGGCCCATTTTGTTTTATGGTGCTGTCCAATCCCCGGCTGGACGGTGAACCTCGGAAGTGACTTCACCACTGAACTAAAAGGGCGTCTGAAGGCTGTACTCTCGGGGTTTCTCCAGTCTCTTTCAGGCCAGTAAATCTGGTCTTTTTTTTGTGTGTTAGAATTTTGTTCTGCATACTTCTCCAGCTCTGTCCAGAACCCTCTGTTGTGATCCCAGTCAGAGCAGTCAGTAGTGGCAGCCGGGTACCATCTAGCTGTACTGGACTCAGTCTGGTGGAGGCCTTGGTAGCTGTGATCCATTAGTCCTTTGGACTAATCTTTTCCTTGTATCTTGTTCTCTTCATTCTCCCTTGCTCCCGAAGGGGTGAGACCAGTGGAGTATCTTAGATGGCTGCTCACAGGCTTTTAAGACCCCAGACGCTACTCACCAAGGTAGAATGTAGAACATTGTCTTTATAAACTGTTATGCCAGTTGAGCTAGATGTTCCCTGAGACCATGGTCCGCACAGCCCTCCGCCCAGCAATGCAGTCCCTCAGGGAGTTTGGATGTGTCTAGGGAGCTTCCATGACCTTTCCTTGTACAAGTTGTTCTGGCTTCCCCAGTACTGCATACTGTCTTACCCTTCGCCAAAGTTACCACTTACTATTGTCTGTCTAGTATTTCAGGGTGTTGGATTTTATCAAATGCTTTTTCTGCATCTATGAGGTGATCATTTGTTTTTTTCTTTCCCTTTGTTCTATTGATGTGACGTATTATGTTGATGGATTTTCTAATGTTAAACCATCTCTGCATTCCTGGAGTAAATCCCACTTGGTCGTGGTATGACTCTTTTAATCTCATAGGGTTTTTAAGGCTTTAATCTTTACAAAAGCATATTGCCATGTCTTTCTCCTGGTGGATTCGAACTACCAGGCTTTTGTTTAGCAGCTGAGTGCTTAACCAATCTGCCACCTGGTCTCCTTATGTCTAGGTTAGACACCATGTTTTCCATCACGCTTCAGAGTTTGATGCTCCTGCCATATTTTGTGTTTATAATTTCTTGCTTGCTTGTTTTCTTTTTCTGCCAGCATTGAGCTCCTTAAAAGCAGAGACTTTCTGGTGGTCAGTTAGTATTTTTTGACTGAATGATATGTTTTCAAGGGCATTTTTATGGGAAGTTGAGCTAGGACTGTGATTCACTCTGCTATTTCAAATGTAGATGACATTTTTGCTGCTCTTTTTCCTTTTCTTTTCAGACAACTGATCAAGACTGGGTTCCATGTTTACATAATGAAACTGAGAAACTATTTCGTAAGGTAAAATACACAAATATTATATTTTGTCAACCCATGGACTTGATGGTACAACTCTTTTCAGAAAGGCAAATGATAATATATAAATAAGGTTTTATGTGAATTGTGCTTATTTGCTTAACTCTGTGATATGGCTCACTTAATTATTTGAGACTTCTGAAAATAGCACATGTTCAAAATTCTTCAAAGAAAAAGGAAAATGAGACATGTAATAAACTTGATTTGTTTTCAGTTAGTCCGATTGGATAATCTTTTTGCCTATTGGAATGTGAAGTCTGAGATGTTTTATCATTATGATTATGATGAATCATTGGTAAGTAAATTTTTTTGTATGTATCGATACATAGTTGCATTATGTTTCACATAAAGTTTTGTTCATAGTCATATATCTAACACACTATAGTCAGTTTTCTTTGTTTTGTAAGCAAAATCGTCGACAGAATTTACAGAAATTTGTGGATATGTGCAGATACACAAACATGTGCACTATATCTCTTAATGCTTAGAGCTAGAGCATTCTTTTATAATAGTAGTTTTATGAGATATTATTTAACCACTGTAATATTTTGCCATAGCTAAGTCCTTCTAAGTATGAATTATTTATTTTTAAAATTGCTTTTAAACATTTTTCGTTGCATATAATAGGATTTTATAAGATAAACATCTATAGGCATGGATATATATAAAAGCAATTTGTCTTTTAATAGAACAGTTTGAAGAATGGCATTGTCAATGAAAATATTGTTCCAGAAGATTATGATTTTGGTAAGTACATTTCATAAAATAAAAAACATTTAATTCAAGTGATCAGCACAAATTTATATTAACATTGGTGATGTTACTGTGATATTTCACATTAAATTTTCTCTTATGTAGTTAAATATATTTGTAAGATATATGCAAAAGTATAAAAATTTATCTTTTTTATACTTCATTGTTGGGGAGCTTTTGGCTATATTTCAAAACTATAGAAAAGAAAAATGTCCAAAAATAGAGAATGTTAAAAAAATGTTTTAAATCTCTTACTAAGGATTATCCACTAACAAGATAAGGTTTATAAAGACATTTTGACACAACAAATACAATACTGTCCTTTCTCAACCTTGGATTCTCTGTTACCAGCTTTCCTGTCCCCTCCTGCCTTCTAGTTCTTGTCCCTGGACTGTTGTGCCCCATTAGTCTCATTTTGTTTTATGGGGCTGTCTAATCTTTGACATTGATTATGTTCACCATGTTGTGCAACCGTCAACAATATCTCTTTCCAAAAGCTTTTCATCACCCCAAAAAGAAACTCAATACCCCTTAAGCAATAACTCTGCTTTTTCTCCTTCCCAGCCTCTGGTAACCTGTAATCTACTGTCTGTCTGTATAATTTGCCTATTCTAGATATTTCATATAAGTGAGATCATAAAATATTTGTCATTTTGTTTCTGACTTTTGCTACAACTGTATATCAGAACTTCATTTCTTTTTCTTTTTTTTAAATATGCATCTATTTATTGTACTTTAGATGAAGGTTTACAGAACAAATAGTTTCTCTAAACAGTTAGTACACATATTGTTTTATGACATTGGTTAACAACCCCACAACATAACACTCTCCCTTTTTGTCCTTGGAGAACCCTATTTTTTTTTTTTGGTGAAAATATACATAGCCAAAGTAACACCATTTCAACAGTTTCTACATGTACAATTCAGTGACATTGATTATATTCTTCCAGTTGTGCTGCTATTCTCACTATCCTTTTCCAAATTATTCCATCACCATTATCTTCAACTCACTGTCCC